ACGCTGTAACAGTAAGTAAAGATCAGAGTTGCCGGGGGGGGTGGGGGGGTGGAGTACGCGTCCTGGCAAAATATGACAGAAAGCATCATCCTAGTTGCTCTGATAACAATGAAAACATAAAATGGGCTCCGAAAGGGTAATCGGTGGTAACAGATAAATGGCATACTTCCTCATACTTAACAAGGGAATTTAACAATACACTGCAAGAGAAAGCGAGGCTGAGTGCCATCGTCTGTATTAATAATTACGCTGAAACGGAATGCATTGAGTGGTTCCCTTGTTTACCCTTGAGACAAAAAATGACTTCTGAATGGGAATTTGAAGAGGCATAGTAACACTGCAGTCAGTTATTCTGATTCATAAACAAATAACCGTTTAATAGTTGTCGGTCGGCCTCTCGTACACTTTCATGATTGGGAGCGTTCATTTCATAAAGCTATTGGTGCCGTGCTAATCTCAACTTCTATGCCATTAGCCAAGAGTGTATTTTTAATGCAAAATCAACAGCTATGTGGCAAACGTGGCACGCAGTCTTTTGTTTCCTTCCTATGGTGAAACCATTTATCTATCTTGTAAGGAAGAAAGACCATTGACCTGACAGGAGCTTGAACCTGGAACCTCTCGATTCTGAGTCAGACGGTCTACTAATTTATCGATTCTGTTCTGGAACATTAAACCCATATTTGATGGGGGCATTTCTCCAAATTAGACGAACCAACTGCTGGCCATTCATCTTCGAAGTAAGGATATTAGATGATCATGAGGATTTTGGCAAGTTTCAGCTGACTGAGAAAGTCATTGAATAAATTTCCATCAGTGGAGCGGTCTCAGTTCTTAGATTTAGCACTTAACAAATACAAAGCACTGATCTTCCTCACATGGCTGTGCACCTATTTCGGTATCAAAGGGCGCGACGCTTCTGGCGTAAGTGAATACTAACCACAGATTCTGAATGTAAAATCTATTTTCCTCATGGCGAACTTCTGCGCATAAGTCAAAAGAGACGTTAAGACATGGAAAGGCTTAATCGTCAGGAATGACTTTGCTAATCTTGTGCTAATCAATAGCGACAGGCAATCACAGTAGCATGTGTCTTCCACTAAAAATGCAGAGTTAACAGGCGTGTTGCTGTCGTGCTGTCATGACCACATATCGGCGTATTTGATCAATAAACAAACTATTACAGCAAAACAAACAATGAACGAATAACCTTTTAATTGCTGTTCAGTGAACAGCTAATTCTCTTTATCATACGGCGTAAAAAGTTGTTCTGTTCCAATGACTACTCTCCTGAAAAACGCTGCAAAATTTTGCTGCCGTAAACATATTCTGATTGCCAAAAGATGATCAAGCAGTAAAATCAAAGTCCTCTTTTATTAAATTTAGCGAGGGGCCTCGCCATATAAGACCTGATAAAAAGTGATCCAAGAAGATAAAAATGATAAAATAAATAAGGAATTAAAACCGTAATAGCCATAAAATTGGTTTGCGTAAATATTCACACTTATAAACAACCGAGACATCTTCTCGATTGTGATTCGATCGATAAAATGGTTCTCTCGCTGTCCATGTCAGTGGCCTTTTTCTTGAGAAGGCACCTGAACACAACATGATAATAATATTACAATTGTGGAAACTTCGACAGTGTGATGAGTGCCATTTAAATCAAAAGCTATTCATACTTCAAAATGCTGGAGCACGCTGGTCTAGATCAAAACTTATATATTGGCGTAAGGTTGTATAAGACAAAATGCTAAATAATGGAAGAAAATGAGTGCAAAGTCGCTAGATTAAGGGGGAAAATTCGGAAGTTTCAAGAAATTTCTCAAACATAAAATCGTGAGGTCGACCTCTTAGAGTGTTAGGGCAACCAGCCGCCGTGAGAAACAGCACTCTTCCGCAGCATTTCATTCACTTAGGAGGGCGCACGTCCCCATATTATCTCATGTAGCAAGAAATTGCAGTGAAGTCGCTGTATGTCATATAAAACAAGACTAATGTGATGAGCTGCAGAGCACAAACACCTACTGCTCATGTGAAGCTATCCAGAGAGTGCAGATTTGGCGCAAACAATGAATTAATAAATTAATCTATAACCTCAAAACCACGAAGAAGTATAATTAAGACTCTGCAACTTTAAAGCAAGCGGCTGATACGTGGAAAGACTGTTAACAAATTACCTGGCTAAATAATGGCCCATTTGTTGTATGTTGGTTCCATCTTTGGCACTGACCTCAAAGTATTCTGTGTTTATACTCTGAATTGGCGAAGAATAGAATGATAAGAAGTGATGTGAAAAGAAGCTAATACCGCGGCGAGGCGCCTTCCTTCAGTGACATCGACAAACTTGCATGACAGGTCATCTTTACGTAAGTCACACTTGTTGCAGCATAAAACGATTGGTGTGCCTTTCGGTGTAGTACCCTGAAAACAGATCAATATTAACGGGGAAAAGCAAACTGAAACTACCAAAATGTTCCTTGTGTGCGTGTATCAAGATTATAAGTTATTTAACAGAAACCTTTCATTAGTATTCTTACTCTATTGTGGTTACGCTAAAAATACGCCCTTCGATGATAACCCATCAACCTATCTATCGAAACCAAATCTATTTCTCCGCGGTTGCAAGAACGGCAGGTTGAAAATTTTTTTTAAAGATGATGATCTTTCTCCAGTCAGGCAAGGTACATGAATTGAATTTGAAGACGCAGATGTGTGTTCAACATACCCTAGCGATCCGACCCTGGGTTTGATCTAGGCTTTTCCCATGTGGTTTTGCGAAGAGACCCTAACTCATGAGTATTTCTCCATCCTGAACACATGCAGATATCCAAGCAAATGTGATCTTTGGACTTGGGAATGAAGCGTCTCATACGACATGCCATTTGGAATGGCGACGTTCCAGAGTTTGCCAATAGTCATCACACAAGCGATACTGATAATGAATCTCATATGATAAATATTCAGTATTGACGACCATCACCACTGCAGCATTGAGAAACAAACAAGCTCCTTCACTATATCTAACTGTACGCAGCATTCCTTCTATAAAGAGACAGGGTTATTCATTTTGCGGATCCTGGGAAGATCGTAAGTTCGAATCCCACGCGAATCCTTCGCCTTTCATTGTTAATTGATACGTAGATAACTGAGTACCATAACCTGGGAAAAAACCGTAAGCCATGCAATACTGTGGCCATTTAAATGCAGGCACTGCCTTCAAAATAAACCGCTCATGGATAATGAAATCGTGACAGACATTTGAATGTCATTCATCTGCCAACATCGCGCAAGACCGAAATAACCTGTACAAAATTCCACATCGATCTTCAAAGGATGATTTCTGAACTGCTTTGCAACTGCTAATATGCTGCGCTAATGGGTATAAATATTATTACGGTAAGTACTTATTAAACCGATATTCCGAATTTAAATCGTACCCTGTCGAAAGATAGTTAACATTTCCCTTCAGAAATTTTCAATTTCGTACTGTTATGAAGTAGATGTTTTTAAGAAACGCTCGGATAAGCGCTTAGACAATTTCGAAAATGACGAGGTCTGACAGGACTCATAAAAAACAAATAACAATTTGACTCTAGAATTCGATACAGGAAGGGGATGAGAAGGAAGATGAAAAAGAAATAAGGAACGCGAGGAAAAACAAAACCTAATAATAACTGAAGAGAGCATAGGCGCTGTACAAGTAGAGGTAAAATTCCGTAACTGAAGGAGTTAAACGATTGCTACACACGGTTGGGTACGAACCGGCACCTTTGGCCGCAATGCGAAAGCGCGCTAGGAGTACCGATATCTGAACACCGTTTGTGACGAACGAGATATTGTTCTAAACGGCAAAATGATAAGAGACTCATCTAGCATCGAAGGTGGTCAAACACATTGGAGCTGCGGCTGGCTTTGATTCCTTCTTGGACCTAAACTTATTTTTCTCCCTCCAATCAGCCAAGAGCATTGATAACGGTGCACTACGTTGTGAAATCTTGTAGCTGGAGAAATTAAACGCTTTTAATATTAAAGTAGTAATAAACAAATTTATGCCTCCATGCTATCCAACCATTCCCTGACGTTCAGAAACGAGTCGACGTTCGAACAGTCATACACCATCAAAACGGCGTCGGCCCTTCGGAAATACGAACGACACAAGCTGCGGTATCTAAAAATATGAATTTTAACGAAATAATCGCAAGGCGCACAGTTATTACCACCTTTCTTGGCCAGCAGTATCCCAGAGTTGAAGAGCGACCCATTTATGATCAACAGGCAAAATTTTCACTTGAAAGTCGACACCTGAAGAAACTTTCCCTTTATTTATAAATTAATACCTCAATTTACGCGTGTAAATGATCAATTTTGATGGCTGATGTTGACGGGACTCATTACTTTGAAGAGCGTGTTGTTGTCATCATGTTGCATGAACTCAAACTAGCATGCTGCGGTACTTGCAGGTTTAACAGTCAAAAACGCATTAACCGCGGAGTGCAGTAAAACGTGAGCATGTGTTTAACTGACCAGCAAAATTAGGAAAGCCTTAACGGGATGACACCACAAAGCAAATTTATTATATACATACTCTTCAACGTTTTTAATCACACTCGATGTGGAGATAATATAAAGCAGAACGTTATAGCATAAATCGGAATAATGACCTTTCCAATTATTCAATAATTAGCACTATTACCATACTGCTGTATCCGTGATCAGACAACCCCAGTAAGCCGACGATCATATTTTTCTCAAGATAGAGCCTGTTCCAGTTTCGATATGGCCTCGTCACTTACAAAATTAGTAAAGTTACAGCTGTACTTCTAGTTTGCATTATGCAATAAAACTGAGTGATGATCACTTGTGTTGACTAAACATTGGATTAAAACATAATTAAACATCTGTCGCTTGCGATGCCTACAACTATGAAATCGATAAAATATGGTTTAAAGTGAGAAGCACGAAATCAATATAAGTTTTCTGAGTATGCATTTGTTTATAACTGATTCACCAGTTAACTTCGGAAACTCAATACCAATACACGCCATTAAACTGCAAATGATCAACTTCTTAAGCAAAACAAGACTTTTGATGTGAAATAAACTTCAAGTACAGAAGCCATTGGGAATTTCACAATCACTGATAATTCTTTAACTAATTCAGGATAAGTGGTCTTTAAGAACTGTTTGTCTTTGTCCAGATCCATCTCTCTATCATAGATAGAAAGAAACCGCTGTAATAAAACAACTTTTAAAGCAGATGAGTTGAGGTAAATTTGCAGCAAAATTTTGCTAGACGCTATCATCTTTCCCCTTTAAAGACATGGAAAGCTCTGCGTAGCAAATGCATAGCAAATGGTTCTCGATCATTGCTGCCGGTCGCAAACAGATGGTAAATGTTTCTTTCAGATTTTTTCCTGCTCCTTCATTGCCTTTATCACGCTATGAGACCATCTTTCTTCAAGGCGTCATCTTCCACTTATCATGAAAAATATTTTTAAAATTTCTTCCAGTTTCATTTGTTTCGCTTCTCTCATGCGCCATAAAACATTAACCGACTTTCCTCTATTCTGTCAAATGTACGACGTTTCCTAGCCGACTGGTTCCTGCGGAGTCAACCAAATATGCTACGAATGGAATCGAATTTACCCTGTTGGAAATCAGTAACATTGATAATTTCCCGCAAAATCAAATGCATTTACTAAAATAATTCTTTGCTTTAGGAAGAACTGAAGCACACAATATTCTAAGCCAAAAACAAAAGGCGGCTTACGTTGCTTCTGCTGATGAGGCGTTAGCAAATATTTCAGACAAGCAAAAATGACGAATTCGAAAACGATTCAGTGCCTCCTGAGAAGTGGCCTCGAGCTGTTAGCTGCAAACAGAGAGGAAAGCACTTCCCCTGAGGTACAGCAGGAACATGAGAACATCAGAGAATACTTTTGACTTCCTTATCCAAACTGGAACAAAGATTTCCGCCAAACAATCTGAATTATAGCGGTAAACAAGTTGAAGAGGAGCATGACGTCAGCGGTCGAGCTGAAGTGACCAGCAGATGACAACATTGCGGTAAGGGTACAAACTTGCTGTATTCAGCCTAGCCTTGAAAACGTAGCGAAACGCGTTGGCAATAAAGGTTTTACCATTTGTTGCATTTGGAGCCCTGAACCATAAATCGTTCAACCTATTCTCTATATAAGCATGGAACCAGAATCAAAAATCTTAAGTCTCATTTGTTGTGACTATTACTTTAACTCTGAAATATGGGCGGGTAGGGGGGGGGGGCGTTAGGGCAGCGGTGCCAGGAGTTAGCAATTCACTTTGTTCCGGTTTCAGATCTAAGGTGAGAAGAAAAGTTTCTCTTCTTAACTGCCAGTTCCATTGAGCAAAGAATTCACCCCTCTGTGCTTCGGCGCACTCAGCCGACAAACGGCGAGCAGGTCACTGTTTTGCAAATGAATGGTAGGTATATGATAGTACTTTGGCGTGGTCACGCAAAACCGTGCGTGGCATGCTCCTATGTCGTCTAATGCGCGCGCCTTACGACTGCGATTCGTCTTTACCTACCTGAGAGCTGACTGAAAATCAACACAACGGGCAAACGTAAAATACAAAATTAAAAACATTTAATGTGCGGTTTGAGCTGCTGTCAACATAATCATACTGTGATGCTGGTCTCGACTTGCTGAACGAAAGGGATATAACGTTCAGTAGTAAGCATAAACGAACAAAGGTAAACTTCGCAGCCAGTATGTCAGTACTCAGAAATGGCTTCTTTCCTAGTGTTTATGACTGTCAAGTGGCCAATGAATCACCAGGTTTCCACGGTTTCTTCCATGTCATGGTTAATCGGCCAACCGGATGTTAGGCGCAGATGAATCTTTCCTGGTGCCGTAGACCAATCACTTTCGGCGGAAGAGG